CACACACACACACACACACACACACACACACACACACACACACATGCACGCACGCACACACACACAAAATACACAAAACGCTTACAATAACCACACAGCTTAAGCTTCCTAAGGCTTTTTCTTTTGATACTTTTGATCCGGTCATATGAGAACCTAATTTGGGATTAGAAAATATAAAAATCACTTAACACCTCAAACCAAATGTAAGCAGGGAACACAAAGAATGGGTTTAGGGACAAAGCTGTACTTATTTAAGCCTCATGAGAGCGTTATTGCCTGTTCATGCAGACAACAGAAAATCCTGGCACCTCCATCTTAATTCACTCATACTGTAAATGTTTTCTTGTGAGACGAGACTTCAGAGATGCTAAAATATTAAAAGCATTACAGCAAAGAACAAAAAGCAAAACAAGAATAAAATTACAACAAAGACTCGACAAACATCAAAGTCACTAAATTTCCTTGTATTAAATAATTGTGTTAATTGTCGTCAAAATCAAATCTGTCTCATCTTTGAATACAGAGAAATAAATATCTATGTCGCCTTCCAGTCTTTTTTCAGCTGTTCCCTCAGCGGTCCCCAAATCAGCCTCTATCTGACTCTGTCCTCACTCCAACTACCTTCATGTCCTCTCTAACTGCATCCATATATCTCCTCTTTGTCTTTTAACTGGCAGCTGCGTTTCTAACATCCTTCTACCAGTATACCCACTGTCCCTCCTCTGGACATGTCCCAACCATCTCAGTCTGGCCTCTCTAACTTTATCTCCCAGTTGTTCAACCTGTGCTGTACCTCTGATGATCTCATTCCTAATCTTATCCATCCTTGTCACTCCTAAAAATAACCTCAACATTTTCATTTCTACTAGTTCTGTTTCCAGTCTTTTTGTCAGTGCCACTGTCTCCAGACTATACAGCACAGCTGGTCTCACCACTGTCTTGTAAACTTTTTCTTTCACCTTTTCTGCCACAGCAAATCACCCCTGAAACTTTTCTCCATCCTCCCCATCCTCCCTGGACTCCCTTTACCACAATCCCCATTTCCCTGGACAGTGGACCCCAAGTCCTTGAAGTCCTGCACCTTTGCCCCTTGTAGCCTCACTGTTCCACCAGCCTCCCTCTCATTCACACACACGTACTCTGTCTTACTAGGGCTGACTTTCATTCCTCTTCTTTCAAGTGCATACCTCCACCTCTCCAAGTTCTCTTCCACCTGTTCCCTGTTCTCACCACAGATCACAGTGTCATCTGCAAACATCATAGTCCACAGAGATTCCTGCCTGATCATCTGTTAGTCGGTCCATCACCAGACCAAACAAGAAGGGGCTCAGAGTCGATCCTTGACGCACTCCCACCTGCACCTTTTGAAGCTATCTGTCACTCCAACAACACGTCTCACCACTGTCCTGCTGTCCTCATACATGTCCTGTACCAGTCTAACTTACTTCTCTGCCACTCCAGATTTCCTTACGCAATACCACACCTCCTCCCTCGACACCCTGTCATATGCTTTTTCTAAATCCACAAAAACACCATGGAGTTCTTTCTGACCCTCTCTGTACTTCTCCATCAGCATCCTCAAAAGAAAGATGGCATCTGTGGTGCTCTTTTGTGGCATGAAACCATACTGCTGCTCACAAATAGTCACTTCTCATTTAAGTCTAGCTTCCACAATTTGCTCTCAGATCTTCATCATGTGGCTCATGAACTTAATTCCTCTGTATTTACTTCAACTCTGTACATCAGCCTTGTTCTTCAAAATGG